CCCCAAAACCCCAAAACCCCAAAACCCCAAAACCCCAAAACCCCAAAACCCCAAATTTTGTAAAAAAATTGAGTTCTATTTTTTTGTGAATTTTTAAGATTTTTAAGATTTTTCTTAAAAATTTGGACCTTCGAGAATGCAGAATTATTTTTAAGGGTTCAGTGGGATCCAGCTAGAAATAGAGAGGGAAGCGAGGGATTTAGAAAGTGGAAATTTTAGTGATTGGCTTATAGAAGAAAAGATAAAAATTATATATTGACAGAGATCAGATAATTCTCTCCCTCTAATTTATAAGCAATAGAAATACTTTTAGAGGTAGGAATAATTCTTCTGTTAGAGCTATTTAGTGAAAATTACTTTGAAGCAACCCAAATTATGTCATCCTATCAGGAAGTTTCAAATGGGAATTCTATGAGTCCATGTTAGGATACTTCAGCATCTTTCTAGTTGAATCGTTCTTCTTGTGTTTCAAGAATTGTTTAGGGTTGCAAAATTTCCTAGCAGTCGTACCGTCCTTATCATCCCAGTTTGCTGAAGACCCTCTTTGGTCTATCTCACGCATTGCTTTCTTCTTATTTGAAGTGAATAGAGGAGATTTGTGACAATTATTAGGCAATTGGTTGTCAAGATCAAAAATATCAACCATTTTGAGACTACTCTCCTTTTTGAGGTTCATTGCACCTAGTATTTCTTCTGCCTGATGAACCTTCTTGATGTGCTTGCTGAACTTTGACAAGAAACTATGATTAGAAGCCCACCGAGGAACTTTCTTATTAGTGTTCTTTATTTTTCCAACTTTAGTGAGATACTTATACTTTTTGAAATGATCTCGAAGGTTATGGTTCCTCGATTGCCTACTTTGGCGATATTTGGGTTGAAAAGGACTGGAGAGTATCTGCATAGTCTTCTTGATTGATGAATTTAGGATATTAAAAAATCCACCTTTTCTAGAAGATCCTCTTTCTCTTTTTATATTTGATACATCATCTTTCTCTCTGTATGCTTCAGAGTCTTGGGACATTTCTATCAAGTCAAGTGAATCCTCATTGAATTCTTCATTGCTATTACTATCATAACTTTGCAGATCAAGCTGGTACTCTTGAGTGCTATTCTTCGGCCCAGGGTCTATACTAAATTCCCAAACTCTCCAAAATTCTCGCTTACCTAGATACTCTTTGAACCCTCCGATGAGCTCTTCATCATCGCCTTTAGGAGTTTGTATTCTAAAAGTCTGACTTTTATTGAGTTTGTCCTTTATGTTCTGCAGACTTTTCTTCTTGTAATACTTGACTGAGTCCTTGACTTTATCAGCTAATTTATTTCCTTTTCTAAAGAGAAATTTACTTTTCACTTCAGAAAGTTCTTACTCTTCTTCATTCTCAGTGATTAATGACTGGTCGTGGTCTATAAGAACATTAGACTTCTCAAGCTAGAACTCAAGGCTGAGAGGCTCTTCAGGAGGAAAGAGTACAGCTGCTTGAATTTTGTAGGAATGGGAATTCTTACACATAAATTTTTGTAACTCATCTGCGTTAATTCTTTGGGAAGAAGCCACTGAAGAAGTGGCGGAGGAGTTTGGAGATTCTTGGGAAATCTCTGGGATCTTGGTCAAGGACTGGTTCAGAGTTCGTTGGGTGAATCTGGGAGGTGGGGCTGGGGAGGGATCTGGGAAGTTTGAATAAGGGCTTTGAACGATTTTGGGAGGCAGATCTGGGGTTTTACGAGGCTTTTGGGGGATTATGAGGGTGTTTTTGGTGATAGGAGGTGAGGATGGAGGGATATGTCGATGAAGCATCCTATTTTTCTTCTTTGGAGGCTTGGGATTCTAGAGGGATTTATGTGTTTTAATTACTTTTATGATATTGAGATACTGGATTCTGGTCTTTGCTTGTAAGAACATGCTCAATACCACTTTCATGAAGTTTATTTTCAAAGATTTTCTAAAATCGATTTTCATCCAATTTCCATAGCTGTATCATCATTCTTATGCATTCTAATCGCTGGTATAGTCAATCTAACAATCCTTTCCATTTTTGCGCAAATTAATATTCAATTTTTAGTTTTAAACAAGGGGTTTTGGGGTTTTGGGGTTTTGGGG